CCCTCTCTCAGCATTAGTTTTAAGCCCAGCTAGCTCTCTCTCTCAGCATTGTTTTAGGCCCACTAGCCCTCTCTCAGCATTAGTTTTAAGCCCAGCTAGCCTCTCGTCAGCATTGTTTTAAGGCCAGCTAGCCCTCTCTCCGCATTGTTTTAAGCCCAGCTAGCCCTCTCTCAGCATTGTTTTAAACGCGCAGCTAGCCTCTAATGTTCCCCCTTCTTTTACACCTCTTGACCTTTGACCTTTGACCCGCAGCTTAGACATCCCAACTCGTTTTCGGATTACCCCCCCGGTGGAGCGGTTAAGATTTGTGCCCAACTGTTGACGGACGGACGGACGGACGGACGGACGCTCGGACGATCATGCGATTCTACAAGCTGCATCTGACTATGTCAGATGAGCTAAAAACCAAGTTTGTTAACTTCAGTAACTAACTCTTCACAACTATAGAGCAGGAATGGCTACTTTCTAGGGATTTCAGTATTTTACTATAGGTATATATATATATATAACAGACATCAAAAATGTCAAAATCAGGATTGTCTGTGTTTTACAACCTATTTACAAGACTGATACAATATCCACAGTAAAAGGAAGATCTGTTTTCGTTTACTTACTGACCCCGTCGCTAAAATGCTGAGTCGGTATTGCGTAAACAAGATGCTAATTACAAGTTATGGATATTAATAAGCAGCTTATGCACTCACCCAGCCTCCTCTGCCAATGATCCAGCTGGCTATCTTTTCCACAACAAAGCTAACAACCCAGTCAATTATTGTCCTGATTAGAGGAATTTGATCCAGCGTCTGGAAACAGATGATAACAACTTGGAAATGCAATACTAATGCCACCTTAGCTAGCAGATTATAAGTAATTTCACCATGTTACCAGTAGAGACATGCACAAAGACATGTTGAGAGTAAAAATCATTTTGTCCAGCAGTATCAGATCGCAACACAAAGAGTCACAAGTAATCACTAGAGTATCACTATATACTAAATACCACGTGGAGGTTACTGAGCACAAGGAACACATTCTAGCTTCAGGGTGCGAAATTAACGGGAGTCCAGAGGCAAATACTCGCTGATTTACTGTCGGACTCCCTGATTTGACATATGCAGGAGTCTGTGTGACCCCCTAAAAATTCTGCCATACTAACTACTAGTTCGTTCCGGAGGACACCCTCGTGGAATTACCATATTTTTTCAGCTAATGTCGAAAGAAAATTTGGCAAACGTGCGACCGCATGAATCTTAAAAATAAGCATATGCGTTATTGTTAATATCTTTAATTTTGAACCTCTGACTGCGGACTCCCTCATTTTGCTGCAGACTCCCTCTTTTTGAGGGAGTCCATTGGACTCCCGTGTGCAAAAGTTAATTTCTACCCTTGTAGCTTAGAACACTGAGCTGGGGTGAGAGGACTTAAAAGAGCGAGTCAGTGGTAGAAGGAAGAGGAGGTAGAGAGAGAGGAAGGGGGAAGGGAGGAAGATTGTGTGTGTGTGTGTGTGTGTGTGTGTGTGTGTGTGTGCGTGCGTGTGTGCGTGCGTGCGTGTGCGTGCGTGCGTGTGCGCGCGCGTGTGTGTAGTTAATAGGCGTAGTTATACATGATATATGTACTATATACGGTTATAACCTACTGAGAATATCCCGTTACTAAAAGCCCTATAATTAAACTCGCATTTTTAATCACATGCAGCGAAACTTGTCGCGATGAAATACGTTTCTGCGTTAAAATACGTATAATAATGACGTAGAATTTAGAGGCGCATAATCAACTGGATTTAAAACGTGTCGCCTTCAATAACGCGCAGGCGTCGGCGAGCGAGAGCGGAAATTACAAGTTTCGATGTCCGCTTCTCTCTGCCTGGCTGTGACGGGTTAAAATATCGCATTCTCTACCCTATCTCATTAATATGATCTCGTCTGGCCGACCCGCACTTAACGTTCCGTAACGGAGTATCGGTGCAATACGATACGACTGCATGCGATATTTCCCCGCGCAACCATTACGACTGCGAGATCGTGTGTCAACGCTAAATCGAACATCTGAGCATCCCTCCCGCCCTGACGACGGCGCCCCCTATACAACCCCGTGTCTGTCGGGCGAGGCCAAAGAGCTTACGAGAATCGCGTAAGATCACGGCCATGACCCTTTCCATTACGGCATCTGCCCTAATCCTCGATTGTTTTTGTCGAATTATTGTGGCACGCCTCCCCCCAAAAAATCTGATTCGTTCTCGAAGCTAGCTCCGACTTTGTTGGTAATTCCTAACCTGTTATCAAAATGAGCGTGTTTATTCGAGATCGATGGTGGCGGTTGGGTGGGGAGGAGTGTACGGTTGCGCCGTGGGGCGAGCGAGATTAGGGTAGTTTCGTTAGATTACGCTTTTCTCGATTTATCGAAGGAAGGTTCATTAATTCTGCTCAGACGGTTCTCCCCTTGATTAGCGGGATTCTTGCGCCTCGTCTGCAACGCTTCCTACTGCTCCCTAGGCGTCATCCTCATGAGGTTTACTGACTGTGCGTGTGGTTTTTTTTTTCTCTCTTCATTCGGCAGGTTTTGCGTCGGCGACAAATTCTACCTTTGCGAGAACAAGATACTGTGCGAGTACGACTACGAGGAGCGCATGGTGTTCGCCAACATGGCTTTCCATAATAACTACAGCATGAACCACATAAAGCGATCGACGCAGTTTCCGGTGACGACAGACGACGCGGGGTCGAGCGGATACGGAAGCCCCGACTCCTTGTAGGGATGCGTCCCCGACGAGCAGGAGGACTGTTCCACGTAACGCCAGCGACGTCTATTGGGAAGAAAAGCTGCGAAGGGGGATTGGGAAACGAGTAGCGGGCGGAAAGAGGCGCGATGGTTTTTTTTTTGAAGCGATCGTGTTTGCCGCTGTTTGGTCCCTTGTCAAGCATAGGATGTCAGCCAGGAACTGTAGGCGCATTGAAGGTATTATAGCGAGGTCAAACTGATCTTACACCACTGCCAGACTAGTCTCACAACGAGGTAAAATTGTTATTACATGATGTCATCTAGACTATTCTTAGACGCAGGCCGTCTCGTCTCTAGTAGTATATAATGATCTTAGGTAACGATGAAAATAATTCTACTTGAACCACCACGGAGTAAAAAAAATCGCCACAAACGCACATTAGTTATTACAGTAATTACACGCGCCGTCAATGCACGGATAGGAGAACTACGTCATAGAAGATCCAATATGGCGGCGCGTATCTTATCAAAAAGCCGTGTAAGTGCATACTGTTCGTTACCTGCAATCGAAACCTATTTTAAACGAGAAAGCGAGAGAGGAGGAGAGAGGGGTGGAAAGAGAGCATGGGGTAGGGGTAGTGGGTGGAGAGGTTTGGCGAAGAAGGCTATATTCGCCAGCTGTTATACATGGAACAGTTCCGTCATATGTGTCGGCTGGAGTAGTCACCCAGTCACACAGTCGCGCACACACATACGCAACAGATGCGACTCGGCCTCGGAGAGAAGCAATGATCGATGGTGGTGGGTGTGATCGAATTGATTTTCGCTTCGATAAGCGATCGAAGAGACAACGTCGATAACAACGCTTCGACGAAGATCGCATGATATCGAACTGCATTAGAATGGCTTCATTCATGACCGGTGATGAATTTGAGGGAAAATTTCGAATGAAAAAATCCGGTGATATCGACCGAGATGACAAGCAATCGATACATCGATGAGTGATAGCGCTAATCCGAGGCTGATAGCTGATGCGTAGCAGCGCAACGCGCTAACACGTGTAAAGGTGTAAATACAGTACGGTATATAGAGAAAGTTGTGTACGTAAATGTAATACTATTATTATAATAACTATTATTATTACTATTATTATTATTATCATTATCATTATTAATATTATTATTATTATTATTATTATTAAATGTTTATAAGAATTGTGAGACACTATACGCGATATGAAGTATTACATCAAGTAACTCCCTCCCCCCCAACACACACACACACACACACACACACACACACACACACACACACACACACACACACACACACACACACACACACACACACACACACACGACGTCGGTCGTCGTACGTACGAGGACGCGTACTACTACCGCCGTACCTATAGTAGTAGAAGTAACGTAACGTCGTACGTAACGTAAACGACG